AAAAAAAATTCTAATATCCGTTATACAAAATGAAAATCTTACTTATTGTAAAAATCATTATTGTTATACAAATAAAAATCTGACTTTTTGCGTAACTGCTATTTGGTTATACAATTTCAAACATATGACTTATTAAGAAATTACATAGTAAGTTTATATAAAATTGGATCCCAGTATTATATGTATTCTTTGGGGTTCTGGCGTACTGTAGTAATTTTATTGAGATTTTATTGGTGGATCAAGTTTTTTAGATAATATCGCTTGATTTTTTTAATAGCAATAGTTATCTTGCGTAAATGCATCGGGAGAAAGGTTTATTTTATACTGTATGCTTACTACGCGTGAAAAGAGAATTTAACCCGATTTAATAAAATTATGTTGCTTTATTAATTATTATGTGTATTTGTCATAACTACATTTTTCATAATTACGTTGCTCGTAGATGCTTGATTGTTGAAATAACAATGCATGACGCGTTAACAGTGTGAAATCGGCATTATGAATACTAATAAAGTACTGAGGAATTTTCTAAGATCATTTTTCGATCTGCAGGTGGGCTTACTCCTCTAGTATTTCTTTTTTCGAATTAATGAGAAAAAAAAGGTGGCCCCTATTCGTGCTCCATACAAATCTACTAACGACCGTAAATGGAAATTTGTTTTATTATATAGAATGTGGCCAGAGGCATCCCCCTTACATTTTATAGGATCTAGATCTGTAAATCGGTAGATTAAGAGGCGTAATTTCCATTCTTGTCCTATTCTAACAACAGGGACACCAATTCAAAGATTCGTAATATATGTATCATACTAGAACTTTCCAGAAATAGGTTGGCGGATTAATTATTCATTGATCTAACCCACAGGAAGCGACGTACTTACTGTGCATTTTGCAGATAGCTGAAATCAAATCTTAGAAATAAACGGTAAATTCTTGCCGAATTAATAAGATCTTCTGCAACACGTGGGTTGAGTTCACTATTTCAATTGTAATCACAAAAAAAGAATATCATGGATCGAGATCTGTAGATGACGAATCGCACATGTTGGAATACATACCACCAATTCCTATTCAAAAACGGATTAATATGCTATTAGCCTATACACGTAATTTGAATGTGCTAATATTGAGTAATGCTAGTAAGGTAATAAAAATCTAACATTTATCAGCAAAGATCATGCCGATTTCCATATTCAATTCGTTCTAACATCATGATCTGCAAAACACAAGTCAAACGACACCCTGTCTTACGATCAGCATGTAAGTCAGGATGTGTTATTTTTTTATTAATAATTCAGAACTGTGTAATGAGAGAGATAGAACATACCAGAACATTGGGGAAGTCCATCAGTATAGCAACACAAAAATATTTCTCTTGGCCGGGGTTATTAATAGATCCTCTAAAAATAATGATTGCGGATGCCGGTGATGTACTACTGCGCATAGAATATTCTGCAGATGACGTTTTACTGTGCACTATACACTGGTAAAAAAATGATTTATCCTACACATATCTTACACATATTGGGTACTCAAAATGTAGAAAATCATACACAAATAATACACATATCATACACATATCGGGTACTAATATATATATCATACATATATCAGGTACCTGATAGGTATACTATATATATAAGTACCCGATATGTATATGATATGTGTATGATTTTCTACATTTTGAGTACCCGATATATGTAAGATATGTGTAGGATATGTGTAGGATAGACCATTTTTTTACCAGTGATATCTAAGCCACCCACGTGATTCGAAAAAAAGAAATATAATTCAGTCTATGTGAATATGCTATTCATCCAATAATTCTCTTAGGCGGTTACCAGAGAGATAATAGGACTCATCATTGGGGAGGTTTTTCTTTCGTATCTCCATCGCGATAGTAATAACCTCTATCACGTTCACTATATTCATTATATCCACCGTATCCACCATATCCATCATCATCTGAATCGTCTGGAATCTCATCTTCAGAATTACTATCAGAATCGGAGTCATCATTGATTGAATTGGAGTCGCCATCGTGCTTATTAACTTCATTCGCCTCACCAAAATACACATCATCGTCTGAAGTGACAGTGTTCACTTTAGTGGGATTCGCCTCATTGAAAAACATATCTTCATCAAACCACACCTCTTCCTTGGAATTATCAGAAGAATTAGAGGGTCAATTTGGGACAGAGTCATGGGCTAATGGGATAGGTGCAGTTGATTCCTTTGGAAACAAAACCTCCAATACATTATTCTGATCGGGAGTATTTACAGGCAAATTTTTTCTGGGACATAATGTCTCGGAAATTTCAGTCACATGATCCGTTACCAGAGGTAATTTTTCTGAAGATATTCCATAATCTATAACATCTTGAATTTGCTCATTAGTAAGCTCTGAAATAGAAGTTGCATTATAAGATTTGATATACTTGATTTTATCTAGGCCCACTTGTTCGATAAATTTATAGACTTTCTCAGCTCTCTGGGTTTTTTTGCGCAAACTATCTCGTGATACATCTCGAAGCTGTAACCCCATTTCTTGGGATCTCTGTTTACGAAGCAAATTAAGCTGTTTTGTAATGGAATCATACAGTAAGCCTCTTGCCTTCTTTTCACCGAATTTACCTCCACTACTTTCTATGATTCCATTGAGCTGAATTATGAAATCTTTCGCATAGAGGTACCAGCATAAAATTTCTTCTGATTAGCTCGATTTGCTTTATCTTCAGCATCAAAAGCTTTATCGCATAACTGAGCTAGATGTTATGAGGCCTCATCAATGCTAGATTTATCAGAGGTAACTTTTCTGGGACATAATGTCTCAGAAATTTTGGTCACATGATTTTGTTCTATTGATGGCTCTTGTGAAGACAACTCCGAAGCAAATAATTCTTGCTTAAGCTTGTCTACACTCTTCCCCTTCTTGCACTTTGAATCCAGTTCGCTACATATCTTTTCTTCCGATGACGTGCTATTGCATGGCTGAGTGACCGAGTTGAGATCTTGAGACATTTTCTCTTTGGGATGTGTTGGAAGGGACTCTTGGATTTGGCCGGAGGTGCTAAAGCAAAGTTTCTTTTCTCGATTTCTCTGCCTAATCTCATTACTAACCTTTTTCTTATACTCCTCATCCAAGAAAGCGTCC